AAGGAAGAACACGACGTGGAGAGGGGGAACACCGAGCCACCGCAAGCAACGCTGCGCCGTGAATTTAGGGCGCCGCCGCTGTTAGGCACGCGTGCGTTCCAACGTTCGTAAGGGCGTGCTCGCATGGATATGTGCGTGACTGCGTCCAGCAGCTGGCGTCGCGCGCGGCTGGCGGTGGAGAGGGGGGGGGAAGAGGGGGGAGGGGGGAGGGGGGCCGAAAACGTTGCAGTCTGATACTGCGCCCAGATATATTATAATTCACTGTCTCGCACAATTTCCGCGCACTGACTGAGAACAAACAGGGGGGAGGGAGGGGGGGGGGGAGGAGGGGGAGGGGGAGGAAGCCAAGGAAGTGGAGGGTTGATCTGAACAAACGACACGTCACGACGACGCGCGCGGCTCAAGAGGAAAAGGGGGCGGATGATAGGGGGGGGGACGCGCTTCCCTTGAGCGTGGCGCATGTCAGAATCAGAACGCGTCCACATTGATTGAGCTTGCCAACCGTTGCACGTGCGCCTTTTACACACATACATACGCCGTACATTTACATATGTATATACATACGCCGGTGCACATACATAATTTATGCATGCATACGTAGTACACATATACGTACATGTACAAACATACATGTGTGCGTTTGTATTCATACGTTTATACACGCACACACATATATTTGGGTCCAACACCAAACGTTACATATAACACATAACACTTGGATGCGCCAACACAAATTAGTTAACACTTGGAGACCCCAACACGCAAACAACAAACCGGAACCCGGAACATGTCAAGGACCTCTGGGTAGGGGAAGGGAAGCCTGCAAAGAACAGAGATTTTGATTGCATTGTGAAGGCGGGGACAGCTCTGCCTATCAGGAAGCTCGTTCCCGAGATCTTATTGAGGTTGAGGAACCGCGCTCGCCGTCTCTCCTGGCCCCTCCTTTTTCACCCTCTTGCTTTGCCCCAGTATGAGAAGATGTTGAAAGCTGCGGCCCGCTCTGCGGGCGCGGGTGATCTCTTGTCCGCGCCGCGTCCGTTGCGCCGCAGGGGGCCGTCGCACGACGCTTTGAACGGCGCGCGGCCCATCGAGGCCATCCAGCAGAGGGGTCGCTGGCGTGCAAAAGAGAGCGTTCGGATCTACGAAAACCACGGCTCGGCACTGCGAGAGCGCTCGAAGCTCACTTCAGAACAGATCGAGCGCGCCCGTTCTTTTACTGAGAGCCGTGCGCGCGACATCCTTCGGCGCGTGTGCGCGTGACCTCGCTCGTCTCCTGCTGCGGCGTGTTCCTTTCCCACCCACCCTCCCCAGGGCATTTGTATATGGGGATGGGACACGAGTTTTGTGTGATGTGCGACTTCTTCGGAGTGGGGTTGAATGCGCTGCCCAGCCGTGGGCCGAGCCTTTGTTGAGAACCATCCGTGGATGCCACGGCGCTTGCAGCTCAGGGTTTTTGTGAGGTTGTGAAAAATGTGCCGGAATCCAAAGTGCTGTCGCTCGTCTCCGCGACCCCTGGGGTGGCCACGCCATTGAAGTAGGAAGCTTTGTCCATTCCGCACCGCACTGCGCAACAGTACCTACGTTTGTTATATCCTCCCGGCCCGTACCGGTGATGTCACCACGTACTTGCAGTACATAGTCCTATCCCACTAGCTCGAGGAGGGTGAGCATGACGAGTCGTGATACGAACGAGCATGAGACTCAGCCAGCATTGGCCCACAGGCCAGCTGATCTACCTCTGTGTAGATCGGACATGGCTGCTGACCTGGACCCCCCCCAGCGGGGGAGGGATCAAGTGGAAGGTGTTTCCCTTGGGTTCGATTACGACATTGCGAGGTTTTTCTTTCTCTGACAGATTTGAGGCGGGTACAGGGAAAGGTGACGACGCAGACGACAAACCCCTCGCACACGCCGACAAGGTCGGCGGATTTGTTGTCGGGCGCCGAATTGTTTTCGGGCGCCGATTTGGTTTCGGGCGCCCAGTTGTTTTCGGGCGACCATTAGTTTCTGGATGCCCATCCGTTTTCGGGCGCCCATTTGTTTTCGGGCGCCGATTTGTTTTAGGCGCCCATTTGTTTTAGGGCGCCCTTGCTGGCCCTCCTTGCCATCCGAGCCTTTTTCGCCTTCCGTTTCTCTTTCAAATACCCTCCGAGCCCCCCTCGCCTTCTTAGCTCTCCGGCCCTTGAGCCCAGCCCTCCGAGCCTTTTTTCTGAGGGGTCTTCTGTTGCTCTCGTAGCCCTCCTAACCCTACAGCCGTCCGGAACGGATCCGCCTGGGTCGGCATAGTCCACCCGAATCGAGAAGCCGATCCGCTGGATCGGATCCGCTTGTCGACGGGACAGGCCCGATCCCACGGATCCGAATCGAGATCGGGAGCGGGCGCCTGATCCAATCGCGGATCGCGTTCTCGTGCGGGCGCGGCTCACGGGTCGGAGTCCGGATCAGCACCGTCGGATCAGGATCCAGGTCGGACCCCAGATCGTCCCGGATCGAAGGGAGGTTTCTAACATGACGAGGTTGAGTTGGTAGGGGCATCCGCAGTGCTGGCGGCGCGCCAGATGACCCATTCGCGCCAGTGGGCGGTCGCGAAATGGACAACGGGGCAGGCGTCGTCAAGCAAGGCTGCCACGCGGTTGACCAGAGCGAGATGAGCGGTTGTCGAGGCTGACGACGCTGCCGCCCCAGTCGCCGCGCTAGCGACAGCCTTCTGCTTGAGCGGGGGAGCGTCGGCGGGGCCGGAGGCACCACTGCAGACCGTGGCCGGGACTTGGCGTCCGGGGCCGGATCGCGCCGATTGGGCGCCAGGGCCCATGATCGTCCGCTGACGCATGCGGCGGGGCGATGCCAGATGGCTGCGAGTGGCCTGCGGCGCTGGGCTTGGCGCTGGCTGCCTCCCTTTGTCTCGGGAGCGGATCCAAGGGGCCCGAGAGTTTTGGGGAGCGACGGCAGCCATCCGGAACCTGGCAACGGAGGGCCCGCACCCGAGGGAGCCAGGGACTCACCGGCGCGGGGCCCGCTGCGGCTGGGATCGCGACCGATGGCACCGCGGGGCGGCGGCCCGGAGGGAGCGCGTCTGGAGCTTGCGCCCTTTTGCACGCGTCTCTGGAGCGGGGAGCGCGCTGCCGTCGCTCAGGCGGGCTGGCTGGGGCGGGAGGCGGGGCTGTCGGGCAAGGCTGCACACGAGGGTGGGACCGCACGCGTCGAGTGAGCGTAACAGCCGCGTCGTGCGAGGTGTTCGCCGGCTCTGCGCGCGGTCGGGGAGTGGCCTCCCGCGGGGGGGCGGAGCGCCGATGGCGCTGGGGCACCGCTGGGAGACTGGGGCGGCCTGATCCTGCCATACCCAGAGGGTATCCGAGCTCATGCATCAAGAAGAACACAACAAATACGCTCGAGCTTAGTTTGATAGTTTCTAGTGTCCTACATCTACATATAGTTGCATCCTTTTGAGCCCAAGCGAAATTTTATAATAGGCCCAAGGCTCGGGGGGGGTTCTCCGCTCCGGAGGTTTCCGCACTGGAGGCTTCTTTTGAGGTCGGGGCTCGGGGGGAGGGTCGCACCGGAGGCTTCGCACACACACGCACACACACACACACACACTGCTCCTCCAGCCTCCAGCCGCGAGGTGGAGGCACGGTCGCGTAAGCTGAGGCGGGACACGCTTAGCATCAATTCCACTTGGCGTTGCAGATGGGGGGGCTGCGCCACGCGCACACACACACATACCCACACGCACGCACGCACGAACGCACGCACACACAGAAAAACAAGGCCTCATCCGCGCCCCCCGCCCCCCTTTCCAGCCCCGTGCGCCGGGCCCTGCTGGAGGTGATCATGGCCGGGCGCTTCCACGAGAGGCTTCGCTCCGCGCCGCCCGCCCCGCCCTGCGCCCCCCTCCCCCTTTGCGGCGCCTCTGCCCGCGCGGCGAGGAGCACCCACATCCTCTGACATGTTGTCGTTGCTAAAAAATCGCGACGCAGGGTTTGCGTCAAGTCTTCACGTTTCACGCATCCCCACCAGCCCGTTCAGATATGTTGCCCGTGAGAGCTGGGGGTAAAAGGGACGGCGAGACAAATATAGTGAAACAGCGCGGGCGACCAGGATAAGCAGAGAGATCTCTGGGAGCAAGGTGGTGGCCTTGGAGGGCCTCTTCGGGCCAACCCTGGGGCCCGCGGGGGGGCGAAAGGAGGAGGAGGAGGAGGAGGAGGCAACCCCCTCTTGGGGCCCTCGTGGGACGTTCTTGAAGCGCTCCTGGGCTCTGATTTGGCTGTGTTGAAGAGTCTTGGGGCAATCTTGGGGCCCTCCTGGGAGTTTGAAGGAATTCGGCATCTTGGGGTGGTCCTGAGGGGCCTCCGAGAGCACTTGGAGCCGTGTCGTGGCCCTCGTCGGATCTCTTGGAGGTATGTCCGAAGCTATCTTGAATCATCTTGAGCCGCCTTGGAGGCCAGCTTGGAGAATCGGAGGCCCTCTTGGAGCCATCTTAAGCGAAAGACCTCGCGGCCCCGGCCCGGCCAAAAAACCTCAGGGAGGGAAGGGAGAAGGAGGGTACCCCTCCCCGAGGGGAAAGAGGGCTTCGGAAGAGGAGAGAAAGAACTTGTCAGACCACCTTAGCCCAAATTATTGGCCGGATTTTCGGCCTCTGGGGGCTCACACTGGACCTCGGGACTATGACAAAACGACTCAGGATGAAAAGCCGGTCCTTGGGAAGAGGTCCAGACCACCTGGGGGCCATTGTGTGAAAAAAACTCGACGGAGGATGTCTGTGTCCGCGGCCTCGCGGTCTGGACTCCTCGGCCACGACCCCATACAGGATGGCTTCCCGCCCCTCCAGCTGACCTTCTCCCCGCCCCAGGCTCCCTGGTTGTCGCAAGACCAGGGCCCTGGGTGGTCTAACGTCAAAGAGCGACAAGCGACAGAAGATAGTTGCCAGGGATTTGCTCCAGGGCTCTGGGGGCCGCGCAGGAAAATGAGCACGACGTCGTAAGTCCGGGTCTTCACCCCCCCCCTTCATTCTTCCAGTTGGCTTTTGTCCTGCCTATGTTTGCTCCCTGCCTTTTCTCATCCCTCCTGTTCCTCGTTTTCTCATGTCCCCACCGCCCTCCTCTAACTGGTCCAGCGCTCCCCTCCCTCTCTCATTCCTCTGAGGCAAGAGCGGGTGAGCAGTACCACGTCGTTCTCGTCCAGAGTGACACTACACGCATTGGAGCATCGCTTATCTCGCGGACGAGCAGTGGAGAAGTGCCAGCCGAAACACCGCCCCAGCCCGAAGGAAAGGCATCGGCAAACCGGTTTTCCCCCTCCTCTCTCCCCATCGCGTCCTGTCTCCGCATTCTGCTCCGCACCTCCGCAGTGCGTTCGAGGAGGTCTGTTCGGCAGTGCTGCGCTCGCCTTGCCGAGCTTCGTGGTTGCTGCGGTGGCCGCTCCCACCTGTCTCTCCCTATATAAGACGTCCCTTGGCGAATGTAGATGAAGCGTCCGAGACGGGGACGCATACACATCGCCGCCTGGGGGACCTAATGTGCATCTTTGCCCCGCAAGGCATGCTCTTTCAGGTGCTTCCTCTCAAGAGGCAGGGGACAGCTCATCGTGCACAGCGACCTGACTCGGTCAGCATGTTGGCGCGATCTCTCTTGGTGGCCTCCGGGGGCCTTTGGACGTCCTCGTGCCCACCTCCCCTTCCTCCGATCAGAAATTTGCTCAAAACTGGTCCCCTGATCCCTCCTGATGTCCATCTTGGCCAATTTTTCGAGCTTCGTCCAGCTGGGGCGACGAGGGCCTTCACAAGCGATCCAAAACCTTCAACATCACGATGTCGACGGCGTCATCCTCCTCTCCCCACTCCCCACCCCCAGAAACGGCCACTACATCAAAAAGCATGCAGCATCGAATATCGGTGCCCCCCCCTTCTCCTCCTCCTCCTCTTCCTCCTCCTCCTCCTCCTCCTCCTCCTCTAGACACGATTTGGGGGCCGCTGTATCGACGATTGGAGGTCGCCGCTCAGGAGTCTCTGAGCCTTCCCGCTCTCAGCAGTGGCACGTGGTGTGCACCGTGCTGGGCCCGCAAGCAGGCCATTGTGCAATATTATCACGAGCTTGCGTCCGCCGCGCCAGCATCGAATCCTCCCCTTACCTCAACGCACCTCCGTGTTGCCCAACAGCGGGCGCGCGGTGCCCTGCGCGCTGCGTTCGCACTGAATCGTCGACCGCGGATGCAGGGAGTGTATCAGCGCTCCCTTGCCGGCGACGCTTATCCTGACCAGTTGCAGTTGCTAATTGGTCGGCGATTGCGCGCATGGTTTTCTTGTCCGACCCCCATCCGGCTCAGGGAGCGGTGGGATTTGGTGCGGGACATCTTGAGCCGGGCTCCACCCATGGTGCGATGGCCGTACCTCAAAACGATTGCGGGGGGATGGACGACCACTCATCGCTTGCACGTCACGGACATCAAGTGGAGCTGCATTATCGGGTGCCCTCAACCCGATCGCATTGCACACTATTTGACGTGCCCCCGCCTCACCCATCTCGTTTGTCGTCCTCGAGCTGTCGTCTCGTCGTGCCCACTCCTCCGCCTCGGGCTTGGCCTTCCTGTGCAATATCCCGCGTGTGACCTCACCCGGGAAAATGCCATTTTAGCTACTGCCCTCAGCTTCTATATATACCACGTGGCCAAAGATATGGCCTCTCATCAAGACGGGCGCCCTTTAACTCTGCCCCAACAGCTAGATGCCCTCCAAGCGGCGCTAGCAAAGATGCCCAACAATTACTCGATTCTTCTGCCGCCGCCTGGATCGGCTAAGCCTTACCCCTGGCTGAAGCCCACGAGGCGCTGAGTGCCGTGAGACCTGTGGACTCGTGGGGTACTGGCGCTCCTCCTCCTCCTCCTCCTCCCCCTCCTCCCTTTCCCTCCCCATCCTCTCCACCACCCCTCCTCCACACCCATCATCATCAAAGGTCGCCGCTTGGGCTCGAATTGATGACGCAGCGGCCTCCGTAGCACGCGCCATCGAACCCAAACGCATCCAGCAGAGGGCCTGGCACTGCATGACTTCGCGCGGGGATAACGCGCTGCGGACTGTGCTCCACACGGAGCTGGAAACCCGCCATGGCGAATCGACAGCGGCGGATGCAGCACGTCGTGGCCCCACGCGTAGGCGGGCGGCGATCACGAGCTCAGGCGCACCGTGATCGGCCACGACGGCGCCACTTCTGGCTTGGTGCTGCCACTGGCCTTCCGCCAGGATTTGAATTTCGAGAAGAAGCCTGGTCAGTTCTACGACACGCAGATCTCCATGCTGACCTACTGCATACCGCCGTCGTGCCCGACGAGGTGCCAGAGCCCACGCCCAAGCAGGGCCCCACCCCCAAGGAGAGCTTGCACGAGAGGGAACGGTCCAACACGCACCAGCCGCTGTGGATGCGCAATCCCGAGGACGTCACCTGCGAAGAACACTCAGTCCTCTATAAGACTATATCCAAAGACCGGGAGGACCATCTTGTTGTGTGGCAATCGTGCACCGAGGGACACATCGACCTCAATGTGTTGCGATTTGTGCCCCAGCGGCCCCCGAATGATTTGCTCGAGATCACGAACAAGCGCAACAGCATCACATTCTACGTGCGAGGCTCTTTCGTGCTGGACGACTTCGAAGAGTTGATGCCCGCGTGACTAGACTTCATCACGGGTGTGGCGGAATCTGCGGACCTGCCACCAAACATGTACCACGATACCGTTGCCTCATGGCAGCATCCTGCGCGTGTTGAAGGAGCACCTCGTCATAAAATATCGGGACATGTACGCCGGGCTGGCCGGAACGAGCGACTTTTACCAGAGGTTGTGGGGATTATCTGGCACTTACTTCAAGATGTTTGCGCATGAAGATTCGACCCACCGCATCAATGACGAGGAAGTGATGTGCTACCACTGGCTACTACACCTCGACACCAGGGGACGAGATCAGCCTTCCGAAGCGGCCCGGGATTATCGATACCTGCTACGCTGGTACGGATGTTTTTCCCAGGGCCGATTCCGTCGATGAGTTTACCCCGGTTGTCATTCACGACGTCATTAACCAGGCCTTCGCTACCGACATGACCCGCCGCACAGGCACCACCGAGGAGATCGTATGCTTGGCCGTTGAGCGCGCGTACGACGCCACCCTCTTTCACCCCTTCTGGGAACACGGCCCGCCGATGGCTGTCAACGGTGCTGTTATTGCCGACCATTGCCTCGACCCCTGCTCGCTGCATGGCCATGCCTGGCTCGATCCCTGAAACAGCACTCCTATACCGTGGCCCCCCTCGCGAGGTATACCGAGAGACCTTGGCCTCTCCGCGACAAGACTCTTCACCCCGACAGATCGATGTATATCTCAGTGGCTCTGATGTCGAGAAACAACTTCCATCATCCCAGCACCTTCATCTTCAGTACCGTCACCACAGCAATATCATCACCATCGCCGGCATCATCATCATCGTGATCGTCATTATCATCATCATTCTGAGCGGCACTGTGATCATCATCAGCACGGTCTCATCATCATTTCACCATCATCATCATCATCGGACTCACCATTATCATGATCAGCATCGGACTCATCAGCATCATCATTTCATCATCATCATCCCCAACACATTCCCCATGCAATTGGCATCACCACCATCACCATCAGCATCTTCACTTTTATCGTCAACGTCACCATCATCATCATCGTCGTCATCGTCATTATCTGCATGATCACCACCATCACCATCCCATTCCTACCCCTCCCCTCTCTCGCCTCCTCGTCCCTCGCCCTGTCTGCCCCCGCGCCCCCGTTCCCCCCCTTCTCCCCACCCCCTCCTACACTCCCTCCTCTCCC